TGACTAAGAAAAGGTACAGCGGAGAAACATATCTCAGAGCCTGTGCAGAGTATCTTTGCCTCAGTTCTAGGCAATGACAGCCCTTTTACTCATCCACATAGAGTAATAGAGGATCTCCAGGATAGATGGCAATGGCTGCTTCCCTGCAGATCTAAGAACATCTTTAGTACAGAGGGCCAGTCCGACTCTTAGGCGAAATGAAGCAGCTGCATCAGGTGCCATAGGCTGGGAGTGAAACTGGCATTGAGATGCTGGAGGGCACCTATGGATACTCTGCACTTCTTAAGGTAGCTTGTTGTCTTCAAGAGTGGCAAACAGCACCGTACTTCTAACAGTACTGAAGATTCGATTACCTCCTATATGGAGTGGTGGAGGAGTGGAATTTTATCTGTCACTTTAGGCAGCAAAAAGTGCTAGGGCAGTCTTGTGTGTGTGTGTGTGTTGTACATTAGAAATAATATGATGTCTTCAACTTCCAGGCAAGCATGCTGTGCAGCCAGATCACAGGCTTTTTCCTTCCACAGAAAAAAAAATAGTTTTCCTGTTTTAACTGGTGCTACTTCAGAGACAGTCACAAGGATTGCTCGCAGCCCATTTGCTGAGTTTTCAGGGCCAAAGCTTGAGATGAGGTATCGGGTCTTTGTCATGACACAGAGGTAGGGCGGGCAAGGTTTGGGAAGGAAGCAAAAACACAGTGCCATGTTGAGCCACGAAGCCCTGACATTACCGGGGAATAGGTGAAGGTGGTTGTTCAAAAGATATCACCCACAAATCAAACTTTCTTCTCCTCCAGAACTGTTCACCCTGTGGTTTGTCCCCCAGCTTGGAGGACCAGACAAGCGCGGCATTTCTTTGAGACTTCAGTCAGATGTTAGTATAGCTGACATTTGGCAATATTAACAGCTGTTCTTTATTTTGAATGGGCATGCACACTGAAGAAGGACATGTTGGATTTCAGTTCTGTGACCTCCAGATGAATTTGAGTTCCAGGACCTCTTCTGACAGAAACCAAGAAATGTTTGGAAGCCCTTATGAGCTTGGAAATACATTCATTTCTGAAGAGAAATAACAGTTACTTCCCTTTAATACCACAATCTGAGCATTAAAAACTAAAAGATAGAAGGGTGATTTTCCTGAAATTGAAACAGTTCCCCAAACAACTGGAATCTGCAGCTCAGGTGGCATTTTAATTTTCCAGCAGTACCTGTGGTGTACACATTGCAGGTATTGTACTCTGGGGATATTTTAAAATGGCTTCCCTGACACCAGATCTATTCATGTTGTCCCATGGATCTAGTCAGCACCAGGCCAACAAAAATATGAGGAGGCTGAAGAGGTATTGTGGCGTTCACCCTCGTGCCCCTTGCTTGACCGTCAAAACTCAGAGCACACAAAGGCAAACAATCCCCTCTTTTGCACTGCTGCTACCAGGTGATCACTAAATCACCATTACTTCAGGAAGATAAAGATTCAGGTTCATACTTCAAAGTCTTTTAAATAGGACTTTTGTTTATTGATTACAGAAATTGATATTGATTCATGAATATCTACTTTAGGTAAATTTATAATTAACAACAATCTTCTATTTGATAATACACTCCTAACTTTAATCACACCTCAGAATTCCCCAAACCAACCACTCTAATTCCTTCTCTCTCTGACACACCCTTGACTGACTCTCTGACTCTTACTCTTATAGCATCTCTCTCTTGGCTCCGCCTCTCAGCAACATGAATATGCATGAACAATTATTACAAAACATGAACCATTGACCTAATAAAGGGGAGTTACAGGTATCAACAGTAATGGTGGACTCCTCCATTATTTGGAATGCTAGCCTCTTCCAGTATTTATTTGAGCATGTTGGTGCTTGAACTGAGTAGCATCTATGTAATGTTTTAGCGTTCAAAGTCCTTCCCATAATCTTCTTCCCCGCTGTGATCTTTCCATCAGCCCTGTAAGGTATGTTCCCCCCCCCCACAGATCATGATGGAGTGAAATTCCCACAATGCTTTTCCACTGGCTATGATAGCTCTGGCTGATGGGAATTGTACTCTAATAACATCCAGAGAGTTTGCTTTCCAAATTTTGAAACTCCCCGCAGCCCTTGCGCCAATTCCTCACTAAAATGTCAAACCCCCCCACTCGTGGTATTTCCCGCAGATTATGCCAGAGTCTCTTAGCTACCACCCTGCAACTGCTCACTGTGAAGAAAAGCTTGCGTCAGCCTTAATACAATTCCCTCCCACTCAGGAATCCTTGGAATAAACTAGAATGAGCTGCTGGGTCAGGATGGCCCATCTCCCTAAACAACAACATCGCATCCATCATCTCAGCAGACCCCACTCCTGGAAGTTTGGCTCACACAATCAAACCGTCAGCATTCCAGGCCATTCATGATTCTGGAACCCTTACAGTGTTACTGAACCACTGCTGGGTGCATCTTTATTTCCCAAGTTGTTTGTGCCTTAGGAATCTATGGAATGAGGCCCTCCTTCATCTCCATGTACGCTGGAAGTAAAAGAGCCAAAGCCTCACATTACCCATTCCCAGCTGTGTCTCATCATGGCCTGGTCTGACCGTAGCTGACATCTTTTTCTGCCTTTATTTCATCTTTCTATTCATTCCATACTGGGAGGCATTGTCAACAATGCTCAGTGCCCTCTGGCTCTTCAACTGTGGGACTTCTTTATTATTATTATTATTTTTGAGGGGGAGAGAAAGAGTGAAAAACGGCTTTCACTCTCCACTGTGGTTCTTGGTCCTGGAGAAGTCTTGCTTATTGTTGAATAGGGTGGGGAAAGTCCAAAGACAAACCCTGTGTTTCTCACATGCTGGAGGGGTGGGTGGTGGGAAGAGGAAGTAGAGTGTGGAGGGGAGTTTTGGGGTAGCAGAACACTGCCTTTTGAAGAGAGTTATATTTATGCTTTTTAAAGGAGAACACTGGCTTTTCAGGGGTTGGGTCTGGGAAGAAAGTTCTCAGGCTACAAAAGTTAGCAAAATTATAGGGGAACAAGAAAAGCAGAGAGAAAGGGAAAGACATCATGTATCAGTTTAAGGACGAACACATTTCATTTCATTTCAGCAAAATAACAGCCAAAAAAAAAAGTAGCACTTTAAAGACTACATTTTAATGTAAGCTTTCGTGGAACATTGTCCTCTTCCTCAGACATGAGCCAGAATACAGAGACTACATGGTTAAACATTCGTGCAAGGCGCTGAGATAAAGAGACAGTGTTATTTGATTGTATTTCACACCTAATAATGATTTAAGACTCCAGTTTGTGAAGAAACCTGTCAACATCCTCAGAAGTATACACAGTTCCCATGTTTGTTTAGGGGAAGCCATGACAATCATAAAACCAAAATGTAAGTAATATACATACGCTGCTAGATGCAGGAAGCCCTAATACTCTCTCATCTATCACTCTCACCAGGTGCTATTGCTTACCCCTAAGTTACTCCAAGGAATTTCAAGCTAATCATATGGGAAACCACCTTTTCTGCTTTCACCTTAAATCTCTTGAAGGCAGGCTTGACATATAAATTTTATAAATGCCAGTGGAATTTTCTGGTCTCTTCTAAAAAGCAAGACAAAAATATAAGTAGAGAGAAGACGGATGAGGGAGAGAGAGAGAGAAAAAAAACCTCACCAGAGTCAAGAAGATTCTTGACAAAAGTATCAATTCTGCATTTGCTAGAACCTGTGACGCAAAGCTTACTTTTCCTCAGAAATCTTCACTTCCACTAGGCACAGGCAGCGGACATTTCAGAGTAGCACAATGTGCACAGACCTGTGTGAATGTTTTTTTGAAAAACAGCTTCTATATAGATAGATAGATAGATAGATAGATAGATAGATAGATAGATAGATAGATAGATAATAGATAGATAGATAGATAGATAGATAGATAGATAGATAGATAGATAGATAGATAGATAGATAGATAGATAGATAGATAGATAGATAGATAGATAGATAGATAGATATACATACAATAATCCACGAGAAATCTACATGCAAACTTGAGCTTGTTAAGAACAATGCATGCAAAAAATATGCACACAGAATGAGGGTGTTCACATTTCCACTTAGATGTTAAAACAGATGCTTCCCTCCAGAAGGAGAGAGAGAGATGTACTATTAGGCAGAGAGAGCTAACTGCCTTAGGTGGTACAGTAGATGTTGGAGCAGTGTTAAGAACCACCTAAGAGCACATCTGAAGCCCCTAACCATCCCCATCTCTTGACAGATACAGCTGTGCACACCATACAGCCTGTCTCGCAGTCCCTTAATTGGACAGGCGCTCTCATGGGCAACAGAGAATACCATCCCACACCATTGCCAGTGCTGAAGAAAGCACTTATGGCTAGTCTGGTCAGCTTCTGTATGTGGACAGGGCACCATCTTGCCCTTTATCTCATGCAGCCAAGTAAACTGGGCCTCCTGAAGCTAGGGACTGGTGGATGTGGATTCAGTCTGTGTTGTGTAAAACTACTAAATCCCATCCAGACTGTTGAACTGAAAGGCAAGCAGTCAATCAAAGAAGCCAGAGAATCGCTTGGACAACTTTGGGCCAAAGTTGCTCTTGTGGTTAAGTCTAATTCTATCCCTAAAAAACTTATAGATCTGGTTTTCTCTCTGGTATGAGAAGCTGTCTTCATCTTTCATTCTTTTTGTCCTTCTTACAGTCCTATTTGCCTCACCACATCGAGGCTTGCCTTGCCTTGCCCTCGGTCTTGGCAGGTGCTGGATCTTACTAACAGGCTCCCAGCTTTTGCCTGTAGGTCTGCTCCAAGAGTGTGCAGGAAATCGGTTGACACCATGAAGCTGCTAAGTGCAAAGTGTGACATGCTGAAATATAGAGAAAATGGCCTTATATTGAATGTTGGGCCCTTTAGCAGGGCCGGTCCTGCCATTAAACAAAGTGAAGCAGCCACCTTGGCAGCAAACGGTGCAGGGAAGTGGTGGCATCTTCTGTTACTCTTCCACTTTGTAGGAAGATGGGGTGATGTAGACTGCCGAATCTGGCCTTGCCTCTGGATTCCTCTCCTGATTCCAGGTTGGTGAAGGGTGCTGTGCTATGACCAGTGTCAAAGATTCAGTTATTGGTCTGGTTAAGGCCTCTAGGTGAAGGGGGCGGGGAGGAAAGGGACACCATTTTGTCTTTTACTTAAAGAAGCAACATGTTTTGATGTATTCTCGAAGGCTTTCACAGCCAGGATCTGATGGTTGTTGTGGGTTTTTCAGGCTCTTTGGTCGTGTTCTGAAGGTTGTTCTTCCTGATGTTTTGCCAGTCTCTGTGGCCGGCATCTTCAGAGGCCTGGAGTAGGAACTCTGTCCCAAAGAGTCTGAAAAACCCACAACAACCAACATGTTTCGGATTGGTCTTGACATTTAATTTAGCACTGCAGCAGCTTTCCAGAGTTTCAGAGGGGGATTTCCCCCAGCTCTACCTGGAGGTACCTATGACTGAATATGGGCCCTTCTTCATGCAAAGCATGGGCCCTGTCAGTGAGCTTTACCCTTCCCTACACAGAGTTCAGAAATAACATGTTACATTAATTAAAGGCTGATTAAAGGGTTCCCTTTGCAGTTCTGGAGTGCATGCAACCTCAATGTATTATGTTTTGTACAACCTGAAGTTGCAGAGATATTTTTAAAAGCCTTTAATCAGCGATAATTTCCCACTACCAGTGATATCATTCCTATTTCACTGGTAGAGCTGTGCAATAGTATTTCAGGCAATTATTAGTCATTTTACGGGCTTCATTAGGTGTTTGTGGAGTATTCTGAGCATACATTTTCAAGACTGATATAAAATCCTAATTCTTCCTCTCAAAAATTAAAATTAAAACAAGTTAATGTTAGCAAACTCCTTTTGGGGGCTTGCACCAAGCTGAATTATTACTTGCTTTGAAGATGGAATGCAGCAAACTCTGTGCTCATCTTGCTATGCTGTAAATGAACATTTGGAAATAGATAAACAGACACAATTCCATTGATAGCACTGCAATGTTTAAACAGACTTCCTTGTCCAAGGAGAGGTTATCTTTATCAATGATAGGAGACATGTCAGCAGGATGACTGGGAAACTCCACTTCAAGCATGACCACATAGAAGTTTGCCCTGGGTTGATGCAAATTTCTCTGTATCACACTCTGGCATTTTCACTGCACATGAATGTTACATTTTTCTTGGAAGGTGTGTTTCAAGTGTCCATAAACACACAACCCCCTTCTCTCACACTCTTCTCTGCTATTATTATCCATCCCTTTTAATGGCATTCTCTTCCCCACCCAGCCCTTTTTAGCACATAACAAGTGAAATAGCACTGAACTGACAAGCCGTGGTTCGCGTTTGAATTAATGCAGCAGCAGTTTGGTGCTATGGCTCACAATTAACGTTGTAGCTTTTGAAGTGGTAGCCGTCTTAGCCTGTGCCAAGCATATCACAGGCTTCAGGACAACCCCCTTCTCTCACACTCTTCTCTGCCATTATTACCATGTGCCTATCCATCCCTTTTAATGGCATTCTCTTCCCCACCCAGCCCTTTTTAGCACATAACAAGTGAAATAGCACTGAACTGACAAGCCGTGGTTCGCGTTTGAATTAATGCAGCAGCAGTTTGGTGCTATGGCTCACAATTAACGTTGTAGCTTTTGAAGTGGTAGCCGTCTTAGCCTGTGCCAAGCATATCACAGGCTTCAGGCCGTGCCACGGTACAGAGACATCATTGGTTAGACGGCATTGGTCGTCCTGTATGATGACTTGTTGAGGGAGTCCTGTATGATGACTTGTTGACAGGGGTAAAATATCTTTGTTGGTCTTCCTTGATATCTCGGCGGCCTTCAATACCGTTGACCACAGTATCCTCCTGGGGAGGCTCTCCGAGTTAGATATCGGTGGCTTGGCTCTGGCCTGGTTCTGTTCCTTCTTGGAGGACCGTCCCCAGAGAGTGCAGCTTGGGGAGAGTATTTTGGCTCCGTGGAGTCTCAAATCTGGGGTTCCACAGGGGTCGACTATTTCCCCAATGCTGTTTAACATCTATAATGAGGCCGCTGGGTGGGGTCATCAGGGGATGTGGAGCTTCGTGTCATCAATATGCTGATGACACCCAGCTCTACATCTCCTTTTCACCAACTGCAGGTGATGCCGTCCTGTCCCTCCAGCGCTGCCTGGGGGCCATACTGCAATGGATCCAGGAGAACAGGCTGAGGCTGAACCTGGACAAGACGGAAGTTCTGAGGGTGGGTGGCCCTGTGGATGGTGGCTTGGGAAACTCCCTCATGTTTGGGGGGGTGGCCCTGGCCACGAAGAGTGGGGTCCGCAGCCTGGGGGTACACCTGGACCCGGTGCTCACCATGGAAACGCAGGTGGTGTCGATAGTCCGCACTGCCTTTTTCCACCTTTGGCGGATTGCCTGGCTGCGACCTTACCTAGACACGGGGGCGCTCACTACCTTAGTACATCGTACTAAGTGTTCGTAATCTCTAGACTACTGTAACACGCTCTACATGGGGCTCCCTTTGAAGCTGATGTGTAAACTTCAGGTGGTGCAGAATGCGGCGGCCAGACTCCTTACTGGAGTGAGAAAATACCAACAAATCTCTCCTACTCTAGCCATGCTGCACTGGCTGCCCATCCGTTTCCGCATTGACTTCAAAGTGTTAATGCTTACATATAAGGCCCTAAATGGTTTAGGACCCCGATACTTGGCGGAAAGCCTGCTCCCACTTAGATCTACTTGGATCACCCGCACGAACCAGGAGGTGAGGCTGAGGAGCCTAACGCCCAGGGAGGCCCGGAAGGAAAGGACACGAAACTGGGCCTTCTCGGCGGTGGCTCCTCGCCTCTGGAATAACCTTCCTCGGGTTACTCGTGCGGCCCCTATGCTGGACACTTTTAAGAGTCAACTAAAAACCTGGTTGTATGTTCAGGCCTTCCCTCCTGTCAATATTTAATTCTTTCTTTATTTTTCTTTCATTTATTATTTGTTTCATTATTGTATGTGTTATGGACTGTTTGTAAAATTCTTTTGTTTCATCGTATACACCTTATTGGAAGCCGCCCAGAGTGGTCGACCAGACCAGATGGGCAAGATATAAATCAAACAAACAAACAAACAAAGAAACAAACAAACATCAGACAATAAAAAAACAAAAACAAAAATAATTAAAAAAACAAAACAAAAATAAAGTCGGGCCAGAGGTGGGACGAGGAGTCTCTCTGTTCAGCCGATGAGCTGTTAGCTGTGTGGGGAGGTGGGGAAGGGCTGGTCAAGCTCCTGTCAGGATTAGCATGATGATGATGATGAAGGACCCCAGCACCATGTGGACCCTGGTGAGTTGCCCGGCTGGTTCTGGGGGGGGGAATCGGGCTCCCTACAGCATCTGTGGTGCCACAGGTCATATTCATATCTCCAAGATATGAACACGAAGGGCCTGTCTCTACTTGGTACATTCAAACTGCCAAACAGTTGCCTCTCAAGCCATTCAAGCAGGAGGGGGAGTAGTTTTAACAGTCACCATCCATGAAAGCTGTCAGAAGTGGTTAAATCTTTCTGAACCCAATGTGGGAGTCGGACTGAATTAGTGCAGGGCCAGCAGGAGGTTTTAGCCTTGATATTGTTAACCTGATCTGGCGCTCCCTCTGCTTGGACTCCTTCCAGTGGAACAAGCTGGGACAAATCACTCTGCCAGAGAGTCTTAAGTTCACATCTGAGCCTCTTTAGCTCCCATGGAGTTTGGGAATGGTTTCGTTGGGAACCATAGCAACGTCTACTCCAGTGTGCTGTTCTAGCCAGCCATTTAGCTTCCTTTTTGTCTCCTTTCTCAACCCAGTGCTGTCAAAAAAAAACACCACATAGCCTTCTACCTGGAAAACCATAGTACAAAATTGGAACCATCTTATCAATGTAGAGGAACTCTCATTTTCAACACCTACGCCAGCAAACAACTTGACTAAAAATATTTTAATAGGATGACAAACAATGGAGCCTTGGGAGTGTTCTCATTACAGCATAGGAAACTCCACCATGAAGATAGATCTAACAGTTGTTTCCGGAAATGGTGTTTAAAGTGCCACTTAAAGGAGAAAAGTGGGAGACAAGCAAACTGACCCTGAGGACACAAAATACCTAGATGTTTTCGGTATGTGAGCATGCATCAAAAGCAGAGATCTGAGCTCTAAGGTCTGTTCGCAAAACCCAAAACTGGACAGGGTAGATTCAGAACTGAGTGCTTCCTAAAAGCCATAATCCAGCTATATTCCCTCATAGCCAGATGAGGCCCATCAGTGCCTGAAAGAAAATGAGACCAATGGCATTGACAATTGACCTGGCCCTGAGACACATTATTTAGATGACTATTTTACCAAGTATGCAGTGGGCAGACCAATCTTGAGTCTTTATCCTGAACAAATTAGGTAGCAAAAGGAGCAGATGTAGCTATCTGATATTTTTTTCCTTGAGTCAATATGTTTTCAAGGGCAGATAGAGATAATCTTCTGAATCAGTTTTCATGACTTCACAAATCCCCTTTTGTCTCACCTCCACCATTCTATGGAACAAGCTTTATTGCTCAAAACCATAGGGCACCACAATATGTCAACATAGACACAGAACATATATGACACTGACATCATATGTTTAAACATAAATATAAAATAACATAGTGATTGGGTTCTTGTTCTAGATTACCCTAAGCAGTTCCACCTCTTTAGTAGAAATCATCACAGGAGACAGATTAACCTTAAACAACGGTTTATTCTCTTTTAGCGGTTCAGAATGGACAACTACTTCTATGGATCCAATGGGACCGGCAACCATCGATGCCTCAGGCCACTATTCTGGTAACCTTGGTATAACTAACGAGTCTTTTAGCGTACTTGCTGAGAAGGGATGACTTGACACTATTTAAAATGTCTTTTTATGCAGATGTGTGTTTGGGGTGTCACTGGTTACTTAAGCTGTTATAAAAGGGGGCCACGTGACCTGAAAAAGCTTAGGAACGACTGGCCTATACAGAATGAATCACACAATATAATTAGAGCCAGAAGATGGAAAACCTCTGTTCTTTCTAAAGCACACTGTGGTGTAAACCATTAACTGCTAATGTCTAAGATTTGAGTGAAGCTGTAAAAGGACCACAGAACAATCATAGTGCTGAAATATAAGTTTAATAAAATTCCTGTACAGTTTAAAGACCATGTAAAGCACGGATTGGCAAATGACAACCAGAAGTAAAAGGTGACAGAAACAGGGTAAGAACCCTAAATGGAACTTTTCAGCAACTTGCATGTAGAGACTTAAACAAACCATTTGTTTCTATCCATATGCCTATGGTGAAGCTAACAGGTTATTAGTTGCTTCACTTTCTCAGCAAGAGTTAGAGGCACTGAGTTGGTTTCCTAGAGAGGAAGGGAGCTGTGGGGGGCAGGATGGGGTGTGCAGTCAAAACATCCCTTCCCATCTCTCTCTCTTTCTTCTTCTGGATTAAAACAGGGCCTCTCCTCACCTGCTGGTGAGTGTGTCCCAGCTGGGCTGGAGGAGTGGCTAGGAAAAGTTGGGGGGGGGAATGGAAGCAGGCGGAATCCAATTGCAAGCCCAGCCAAATGGAGGGGGGAGGACCCATCCAAGCAGGCAGTAGACATTTGGCGGTGGTGGTGTTATGGGTTTTCAAATTACTGCTGCTTTTGGGGGCCCAACAAATTAATGCTTCCCCATCTCCAAAAAAATCTCACCCATAGTCAGAAACTCTGCTGCAGTCTTGTAAATCAAAGGCTGTGGTTTCTCTATTGAGTCAATCCACCCCAAGCTGTGTCTTCCTCTTTTCCTAGCATTATTGTCTATTCCAGGGAAGTTTATCTTCTCAGAATAGTTTAACCTATTAAAAATGCCTTTTTATGCAAATGTGTGTGTCACAGATTTCTTGGTTATTATAAAAGAGGGTTGCAACTTGAAAAAAGGTTGGTCTACACCTTCCATCTGCCAAGGCTGAGATGTCACTGCCCAGAGCAGAGAAAGAGAGAAGCTGATTTTGGTGGCCTCTTTGAGGTGCTACTCAAGAGCTCTAGCTTTGGCCTGCTGCTCACTCCCAACCAGGTCTACCAAGATTGTTTTGCAGCCCTTACATGTTCTTGGCATCTCTTGTCTCCAAAGGAAGAAAGCCCCAGGATCAGCTGAATACTTGAAAGACAATTTTTAAACACTTAGGTTCTCTCTGACTAAGTACAATATAAGTCGTATTAAAAAAAAAATCAGAAGGACACTCAGTTGGGGACAGGCACTACAAGAATTCTCAAATTATGGAGATGGGGAGAGTCATGGCCCCTTGCCTTTTATGTGCTGTGCATTCCATGTCCCTGTTTTTAAGAAATCTTCGGTAAGGTGCTGATTCTGCTAGAACTGGCAAATCACTGTAGGCTTTGAAGGGGAATACTATTATGATTCTACTCCCCCCTCCCCCAATAATCTAAGCATGGCATCATGACAAACTATGGCTACCAGAAACTGGGAAATGGTGGTGAAGATCAGCACAACCCACAAAAGGTGAAGAGGCATGTCAGTCCACAGCACATTCACAATACCCCAACCATTGTTTAGCTGTAACATCAGAACTAGGCCAGTGTTTAAAGGACAGATCCTGAAGCTGAGGCTCCAATACTTTGGCCATCTCATGAGAAGAGAAGACTCCCTGGAAAAGACCCTGATGTTGGGAAAGTGTGAAGGCAAGAGGAGAAGGGGAGGACAGAGGATGAGATGGTTGGACAGTGTCATTGAAGCGACCAACATGAATTTGACCCAACTCTGGGAGGCAGTGGAGGACAGGAGGGCCTGGCGTGCTCTGGTCCATGGGGTCATGCAGAGTCAGACACGACTTAACGACTAAACAACAACAATGTGGAGCTGGAGCTAGATTTATAAGGAAGAGTCCCCTCTCATTTAAACTCATTAGCATATCCAGTATTAACTCAATGAAGAGAGATAGTGTATTAAGGTACAGAAAATGCCTTATTGAAAACCTTCTAAGCCCAGTGCATGAAAAAGCAAAATGTGCCATCATGAATATGGTGTCTGCATTTTTTTCTGCTGTAAGAAAATAAAAGTAATTAAAACCGTCATGTTTTGTTCTGTTCTGGGACAAGGATGTTCCTGGTCCTGGGAACAGATCTTTGGCTCTGGGCAGAGAGCCAAATGTCTGAGAAATGTATTAGTCTAACCTGTATTCTAACGTGTGCTTACCTGAAAGAATTATGTCTTTATTCTACCTTTATTATCAGTCTTTGTTTTCTGTTAAATGTTGTACAGTAACCTCTTTGAGTTTGGATTCTATACTTACATGTAGGTTTCTCTGCTAAACAATTCTCTTTGAGTTTGGATTCTATACTTACATGCTCACATGTAGGTTTCTCTGCTAAACAATCAAGATCCTTTGCACATTTTCCATCAGTTGCATACAGCATGCTTTCAAATAAGTGGTCAAAGGGCTGTGCAAATGATTTTTTTGTTTTGGAAGATGGATCCACAGTCCCTCACATAATAAAGAATTTCCCACTGCTTGTCTGCCCATAAAGATGGCACCAATACAGCATGTAACACCCTATAAAATAAGTAAAACAATCAGAATGGTGATGGCAATCATCTTATATATGCTTTCAGCTCAGCAGCTATTGGGTAGACTCTACCTATCCTAACAGATTTTATTTCTCAAGAAACTAACCAAAAATACCCAGACTGAAATCTCCAGCTCCTATTCCTTTGGAAGATGGATCCACAGTCCCTCACATAATAAAGAATTTCCCACTGCTTGTCTGCCCATAAAGATGGCACCAATACAGCATTTAACACTCTATAAAATAAGTAAAACAATCAGAATGGTGATGGCAATCATCTTATATATGCTTTCAGCTCAGCAGCTGTTGGGTAGACTCTACCTAACCCAACAGATTTTATTTCTCAAGAAACTAACCAAAAACACCTAGACTGAAATCTCCAGCTCCCGCTGTGGGCTAAACCGCAGAAGCCTGTGCTGCAGGGTCAGAAGACCAAGCAGTCGTAAGATCAAATCCACGCGACGGAGTGAGCGCCCGTTGCTTGTCCCAGCTCCCGCCAACCTAGCGGTTCGAAAGCATGCAAATGCGAGTAGATAAATAGGTACCATCTCAGTGGGAAGGTAAACAGCGTTCCGTGTCTAAATCACACTGGCCATGTGACCATGGAAAGATTGTCTTCGGACAAACGCTGGCTCTATGGCTTGAAGAGCGGGATGAGCGCCACCCCCTAGAGTCGGACACGACTGGACAAAAATTGTCAAGGGGAACCTTTACCTATTCAGATCTACTTGCACCCTTCATCAGGAGAAGTGTTCTGGCTGCAATTCCCCAAGTGATGTGAAGCTTCAAGGCTGCCATGCTTACCTGGGCTTCATTTCTTGTGGAGGGGGGATCATGGGAAGCCAAAGGTGTTTCATAATGTATTCGCGAAGGCTTTCACAGCCAGGATCTAATGGTTGTTGTGGGTTTTTCGGGCTCTTTGGCCATGTTCTGAAGGTTGTTCTTCCTAATGTTTTGCCAGTCTCTGTGGCCAACATCTTCAGAGGACAGCAACCTGTGCTCTGGTGTAGTTGGCTTGGGAGTAGAGTATTTATGGCTGTGAGATGGGCTTTTGTCTTTTTCTGTAGGTGGGGGATTAGTGTGTCTTGTTGTGGGTGTATTGTTTCATAATATTTGTGCTTATTTACATACATACAGGCAGAGGCAAAAGGTAAACAAGATATGGGCAATCTGTGGCCCTCCAGAAATATTGAGCTACAACTCACAGTTTCCCATTGGCTGGGACTAGAGATGGGTATGACTCTAGTAGTGCCACTTTGTACGAAGCTCCTTGTGCAGCATCAGAGCTGTTGTGTGTTCCCTTCCCCCAGGTGGTTGCCCCACTCACAAGCCTCTGTGCACCACCTGGGTCATTCTCCATTGCTGACTGCCCAGTCCAGGCAGCAGCCAGCCACTCAATGGCTGCACAGGGAAAATCCCCATCCTGCCTCCTCATCTGAGTGGCTGGGTGCCAGAGGAGGCGGGGAAGGGAAGCCCAGGTTCCTGCTTGGACTGGCCAGCCAGCAACGGTGGATGGGCCATGTGGTGTGCAGAGGCTTGCGAGTGGGGCAGCTGCCTGTGGGGTTGGGAACACACGCAAGGAAACTTCATACAAAGGGGCATGATTTAAGCCAGGACATTTGGAAATTGAAGTCCAAACATCTGCAGCCCTGTCTCAAGCATTTCAGCATTCTCTGATGCTATTATAAACGCTTCCATCCCAGACCAGAGCCCTTGGTGATTTTAAAATTAGTGGGTAAGTAACCACCTTGTAATACCTTTAGTCTAGACAAGTAAAATGCCTTACACAGTTACTGCTCCAATTACTGTGAAAGTTATGATGCTGGTTTGGGGATGATCTCCAATGCTTGCAGTCAGTTCCGCTCCTCTCTATTAGCGTGTAAGCAATTTCATTGCAGATCTGTTCCGTGGTTTGGCTCATATATTATGAAATATTTAGATGGGTCATCTGTGGCAGCAGGATTCTGGATGAAGCACTAGTGGACCATGGCTACTGTTCCTGTTGACCACTACCTTGAAGCCAAGTTGTTTTTCTCATTTGTTGAGAGGATAGCAAAACATAGTTACTTTGACTGTTTCTTGGGCCATGGTCAAAACCCATGTACTTGGACCTGGAGAACTGGGTAGCAGTGTATGTGCATGTGTGTGTGTGTGTGGGGGGGGGGAAGAAACAGGAGTAAGACAAGATTTCCAGCATAGTATATTCAGCTCCTGTTCACTTAAGCAGGGTGTTGGGAACAAGAGGACAGAAAAACTAGGGGGAGGAGAAGCTGTGAAAGACCACCATAGACTTAAAATAACTAGAATGTTATAGTGCTTATAGTACTCTGTAGTTTGTTTAAGTGTCATACATTTGTCATTAATGATTGGACTGCAGTGTGGTGCTAGTTGTCAGGGAAATTTTCTAAGAATCCAAGACATATCTGGAATCCAGCTGTGACCTCATAAAAGAGACCATGGAGGTCCACAATGGTGAAAAGATGACCATAAGGATTACCACTTACTTCATCAAACAGTTGAGGGCAGTGGCAGTGAAGGGGATCTCTCTCTCTCTCTCTCTCTCTCTCTCTCTTGTTACACAGAGATGCTGTGCAAGGCCCTATTACTGCCCACATCAGAAATGATCTAGAAAGGGGCTGTCAAGCACAGATATGATGTAGCTACAATGCCTGCAGAAAGAGGCCTAAAAAGTACAGAAGAAACACAGCCATGCCCAAGGAATCAAGTGGGTGTGCTGGATTGTGGCAAGAAATAATGAGGTTTCCAGTCAAGCTGGCGGACAAACTGAGTCATCTGCTCCGGATCTAGGACTGTTAAGGGCTAGAAAACAAAGATGGGAGGATGTATTCAATAAGCCACAGAACTCAAGTTAAGCCAGGCACAATAGGCCCAGATTCTGCATCACTGCCCTTCAGCAGTTTGTAACAACAGGCTGTCAATGTTGTGAAAGGAACAGAAGGGTCATTTTACGTGCCAAGAGAGGTTGACTCAGCTTTGTATGGCCAGAATGTGAGTGGGTAGGCCATGGTCTTCACACCAGCCTTATGTTCAGAAGTGCCAGAAATGGCATGAGGAAGCAGGGAAGGGGGAGGAGGGATCAGGACTCAGGAATGTCCCAATAGCAGGAAATTCCAAGGAAATAAACCTGTGTCCTGTAGCATGTGACCTTGGGGACAGGATTGCTTGGTAAAAGCAAGATACAGTAGCCTGAAGGAACCTGGACACCTGTAGCATGAGACAAAAATGGCAGCTCCTCCCTCTTTTGATGCAGACATGAGACAAAAATGGCAGCTCCTCCCTCTTTGGATGCAACACAAACTGGGACAGAGGGAGGGTCCAGCAAGGTGAGGAGAGAAAGAGATTCCCACTCTTTCATACTAACTTGTGGCTTTGGCTTCCTGCCCAGGGCAACTAGGTATGTTGGCTAGGTTCTGTGATGGGCAATGGAGTAGGAAGCATTGTGCAAGTAGTCTGCTCACGGTCAAGAGCAAGCCACAACCCAACCGACCCCAACACAAATATTCCCATAAACATTTTGGAAAATATGTAATTTGTTAAAAGAGCAACAAAAGAACAACAAAAACTATAAATACATGTTCATAGACATGGATAAAAGGCTAGGTTCTGTGATGGGCAATGGAGTAGTAAGCATTATGCAAGTACTCTGCTCACGGTCAAGAGCAAGCCGCAACCCAACACATTATACAAATATATTCATTCCTATATGCTTTGTTGTTGTTGTTTAGTTGTTCAGTCGTGTCCAACTCTTTGTGACCCCATGGACCAGAGCATACCAGGCCCTCCTGTCTTCCACTGCCTCCCGGAGTTGGGTCAAATTCATGTTGGTCACTTTGATGACACTGTCCAACCATCTTGTCCTATATGCTTTAATATAACATTAATGTATAATGTTTAATGCATTACAGCATCTCTTATTCTCTCTCTCACCACACACACACACACTCTCTACACTGTCCAACCATCTTGTCCTATATGCTTTAATATAACATTAATATATAATGTTTTAATGCATTAAAGCATCTCTTATTCTCTCTCTCACACCACACACACACACTCTCATATATCCAAATGCACACATAGTACTGTCACGACTTAAATACTAACAATTGTAAATAAAGGTTGCATAGGAAAGACTGTGCCCATCTGTGTAGTCACACCTATCATTTGTTCTGCACCTGCATAGCACAGTTTCAGACTTCCTAGCTCAGCCCTTGAGTTTTAGCAGGAGTCCACCCTTCCCATTGCACAATATCATGTGATTCCCCTCTCACATCTCAGCTGCTTACGTCCACCAGTTCCCTATTGAGCCAAAATCTAAGAGAGGCCGTGGAAGGCAAGTTTTGGGAACCCCACAGAGAACCTCTTGAAGAAACACAGGCGGGAGCTATGATCAGATGGTGCTTGGAGGGAAATCCCATGGCAAGACCCATGTCGCTCCATGAGAATGCTAGTCACGTTTATAATTTCTTTTCTGAGAAGTCACAGCATAAAAAAAGGAAATATTGTAAGTGCCAAACATGCCCATCAGGTGCCTTTGGGATGCGCAGCATTTCCTTTTCCGTTGAACATGCTGTTCTTGTTGCACATGGTAGACACACACACTCTTTGATGAATGTCTGCCTCTGCCATTAGAGGGCTGCCAGTAATAGTAATTTTGTTACTACTCAACCCTTCTCTCTCCTGTTCTAGTTTATTATTAGCAGCCCTACGGAACTAAAAAGAAAAGAAAAGTCAATTCAGCCCACCCCCTGGGAATCCAATGGTGGAGTCAACGAAGATCTTTCTTTTGCTTTCTTTCATGATCTTCATTCTCTGCTTCTCATCTAATGCCTTATTAAAAAACAAAACAGTAGAACTGATGTCTTCAACTGATATTACTCCCATAAGAGAGAAACGGAAGGAAAAACAATACTTATGTGGAAAAATAAGTTATGCTTAAAGCTATATCCCTAAAAGCAAGGAAACTGCCATCCATCCCCACCACAATGATTTCAGCCACTTGCAGAGGAAGAGAAGATAAATTAGCAGAGAGCGAATTTGTCTTCCTGTCCAGTAATTGGGCTTCTCACATAGCACAGGACCTGGAAAAATCTTGCAGTAGCTGGAAAGCTTGGCTATTTTGAGCTCTCGTGATGGAGATTCCAGGGCAAAATATCACAGGGTCTAGGAGCCACCTATTGTTTACGCCGGGATAGGGAGCCTTAGGGCTTGCAAGACTATATTAAGCCTATCTATAAACCTGCCAAGGGAAGACTGAATATTTTGACAGTCACATATGGTGCAAGTTATGGTTTTCTTGAGCTTTCCTAGTTATCAGTTGCCTCATGGCCTTCTGTATAGGAAGCAAGGAGGTTCAGATCTCACCTGTGCTATCCTCAGTCAAAACATGGTCACCCTGGCATGATTTTTGTGTTTCTTTCTTAATGATTATTAGTATGAAATTTGTCTTTTTCACAGCTTCTATCCACTGTGGTCTCCACCATCATAACCCCATAATTTATTTCCTGGTCATTAACATCCAAACACATCTATCAATGTGTTTCTGGAATCTAGTTGCTTTTTAAAAAATACCTATACCAATGTACAACACACATTTTTGCCATTTTATTGCCAATTTTATGGCAGTTCAGAGATAACCCTTTCTGAGGTCTTTGCCATCCTTTTCAGATTTCATCATACTTACTATCTGTGTGGCATCCTCAAACTTAGCCATTTCAACACCCATTGCTATTTCTGGATCATATTCTAAAATCACCCCTCTCATTTCTGAGATCTTTGAAGTACTCAATGGCATAATGTGTGTGCCAGGGGGGGCACAGGGGCAGATGCCCTAGGTGCAAAATTCTTAAGGGGTGCAAAATTTCAAAAGCACACTCGATGGTGTCAGTGGCAGCAAAAGGCCCAGCAGACCAAGGCCACGTTGGGTGAGTCCAGGCCCAGCACAAAGCTGAAAATCTGAACCAGCTGTTCTGGTGGCAGCTCCAGCAGCAAAAGTTGGGCCGGGCCCTGGGCAGGCGCCCCCACTACCACTGCTTCCTTGCCTCTGCTGCATCATCTTCCTCCTCTGGCTTCCTTCCACCCTTCTTCTTCTGCCCCCTCCTCCTGCTCTGGCTCCTGCTGCTGTTTCGGCACCTCCCATTCTCCTCCAGGTCGGTGTCCAGCTTTCTTCTGTCCCTGGCAGAGGTGGCCCTCCCTTTCCACTGTGCTTCCCACCAGCAGTAGGTGCTGGTTGCACCCACCCTGCAGAGCTGCACACAAATTGCCATGGCTGCAGAGCCTCCTCTGCGGAGGGCCGCCCATCCAGACAAAGCCACCAGCATGCGCAGTTCCACCACAGCCAATTGCTGGTAAGCCTCACTCCATCATCACGGCCTCTATACTTGCCTTGCCCCGGGTGCTGGCAACTCAAAAGTACTCCACCGGAAGCACTTGTTTCTTACTTCCAAGCATGATCAGAATTGTGAAGACGTACGTGGTTGGAGAACATAAGAGAGCTACAAAGATATGGGTCAATACAGAGCAAGATTCTCCTAGCACAGTGGTGGGGTAACTTTGCCCTTCCAAATATTTTGGATAGAAATGGGCACAAATTGATTCGTGCTGCTTTGTATGAAGCAGCATGAATCAATTCATGCCCATCTCTAAGTCTGGATAACAACATGCACAACCCTCTGTCACTAACTGGGCTAGCTGGGATGTCTGTGACATCTGGAACTAAAATTATCTTCCTCTTTCTAACAATACAGCAAAGCTCAGATTCTCCATAAAGCAATAAAGGAGACAAGACAAAGTAAGACATTTTTGCTGGTCCATGTCACTCCATCTGTTCATCTGGATTTGGACCTGAAAGACAACGTCAAAATATGAATGTGTGGAGGGCAAGTTCTAAACAAGCACATCATAATTATTTGCCATATTTAAGCCCCCCAAAAAGGATTGGCAGAGGAAGGACCAGAGGTAAGAAAGCAAGAGGGGAGGCTGTGGGCTGGAATTTAAATCACACTACTTCCCGTATGAATGATGAACACCTGAGTCAATTTGCAACCACTTTGTGAGCACTGACTGCAATTTCATAACATAATACAGGCTGTGAATCAAGTTGGAGCAAAGCCTAGTTGCTCTGATTCAGATTTCAAGTGTAGTTGCACCCTAAGACCTGAGGCTTAATAGCTGCCTGGCCAGGGATAGTGGCAAAACAAAGTGTTGCTTTGTCTTTATTACCTTTTCAGTTTACAACTACCAAAAGTAGAAATTACTTTGCTTAACAAAAGAGGGTCTGATGGTTGTTGTGGGTTTTTCAGGCTGTCTGGCCATGTTCTTGAGGTTTTTCTTCCTAATGTTTCGCCAGTCTCTGTGGCCGCCATCTTCAGAGGACAGGAGTCAGAACTCTGTTTGTGCTCTGGTGCAGTTTGTGGGATAGTTGAGTATTTATAGCTGTGGGATCAGCTTTTGTCCTTTTCAGGAGATTGGGTGATTAGGGTGATCAGTATGTTTTTTGTTTTGCTTTTCAGTGCTGGGAGCCAGGCTTTGTTGAGTTTTAGACTTTCTTCTATTTTGCTGAAGCTCTGCTGGTGTTTGTGGATTTCAATGGCTTTCCTGTGCAGTCTAACATAATGATTGCTGGTGTTGTCCAGTACTTCTATCTTTTGAAATAGAATTTCATGTCCAGCTTGTTCCAAGGCATGTTCAGCTACTGCCAAATTTTCCGGTTGTTTTAGTCTGCAGTGTCTCTCATGTTCTTTAATTCTGATGTGGATGCTACTTTTTGTGGTTCCAATATATACCTGGCCATAACCGCAAGGTATCCGGTATACTCCTGCAGTGGTGAGGGGGTCCCTTTTGTCCTTTGCTGACCGTAACATGTGGTCCGTGTCCCCTTTGATGTATGGCAGAAATACTTTATTTGAGGGTGGCTATTTTTCCTCTTCAGTTTGGTGTTGTTGGGTTTTTTTTGGTTTGATGGCTCTTGTGATTTCATTTGTGGAATAGCCATTTGCCTGTAGGGCCCAAATGAGATGTCTGAGTTCGGTGCTGAGAAATTGAGCTTCACAATTCCGATTTGCATGCTCTACCAGTGTTTTGATTATGCCTCTTTTTTGTTGTGGGTGGTGGTTGGAGTTTTTGTGTAGGTACCAGTCTGTGTGGGTGGGTTTTCTGTAGACCTTGTGTCCCAATAGGAGGTCAGGTTTGTGTATGACCATGACATCTAAGAAAGGGAGTTAGCCCTGTATTTCTTTTTCCATGGTGAACTGTATATTTGGGTGCACTCCACTACGTTCCTGCCCCTAGTCATACAGCAGTTGAAGTGCGATTTACTGTGTGGTTTCATTAGAGCCCTTCATATGTGATGTATTCTACTGGTGACAATCAATGGAGGAATTTGCAAAATCCCAGTGGTGACAGCTAAGTTTCTAGGAACAAAGGCATTAGCATCCATTGCTTCCTTAGGTGCAGGGTTCTTGAACATCATGGAGCAAACATTGAAGGGAGCAAACACACTTGGTTTGCATCCCAAAGATTAATGGTATGCCCTGGTATCGCCAAGAGAAAAAAACCACCATATACTCCATTGCTAGAAAGACTTTGTTTACTATTTCAGCAGTGGCGGATCTGCTCACCCTAAACTGTTGACCTGCTTATATGGGTTCCCTCATAAGGGTGCATGATTTGTGCAGTATAGGGTACTAGTTGCAAAAGAGAGAGAGGTGGGAGAAAGAGAGAGAGAGAGAGAGAGAGAGAGTCTTTTTTGACTCATCCTCATATGTGAGTGCTTCCTTTCATCATATATATCAGCCCACACATCTGCTCCACTCATTGAATGTTATAGGAAGCACACAACAATGTGAATCCTTGGGACATAATGTGCAATACATTTCCTTATCATTGTTTTGTAAGGAAAGAGAAAGTGCGGTGGTCAAACAATTGTCACTTTTGATACCCAGACACAACTATCCACATGATGGATTCATTGATCAGTACATGCATGTAGTGTGCCTGGTACGTTTCAAGAATATGAATGATCAGCGGAACTTTGAGTATGTGCTATAATGTTACATCCAGTTTTTGGCAACAGTAGTACAGTTTTCAAGATATACATGATATTTTAAGGAATGGTTTTACTAGTGCCATCCCCAATGAGTTTTCATGGCTAAACAAGGATTAAATCCAGGTCTCCTGAATCCTAATACTGTATTACATTTCATCCACTACATTGGCTCTATGTACTTGGGCAGGGAACCAAATAAAATGCATTCTCTGCCGGACTCATGTTGAAATGGGGCAACTGCACTCCTAGTCTCATTAGAGACGTCATATAGATCAAGTAACTATATGTTCAAGTAGGGAGGTTACTTTTCCAGTCCAACACCCGGATCAGGATCGCATAACCTCACACACAACCTTATCATGCCTGGAAGTATGGAATACTTAAAGGGCTTTAATACTTCCTTCATAGAATAGCTACATTGAAAGAGGAAGTGTGGAGGCAGGCTTTTGGAAAATTATTCATTGTGTCTGCTTTGCAATTCAAGTGTGCTGCCATTGAACAGTTCCTGAGCAAGGGGAAGGAAACAGCATAACCTTATGTTTTTTCCTGATTGGTGGAAGGATACATTTTTAAATGGGCAATTGTAATCACAGTCTCACCACAGAGGAGAAGGCTCCAGAACAGATAACCTACTGTTCAGGTGGTTACACATTTTCCAATAATTGCACCAATATCACATAACCTCTACAATGGGCTTCTGGAGCCACCCAGTTTGGAAAATTATGCTGTGTTTTTTGGGATGGGTCTCTTTGTTCAAGATG